TTTCGGGCTGTGCACTGCTATGCCAAATCTTAGAAAAATCATAACTTCCTCATACAAAGTCATATTTGGGCGTTCTTTTTATGCACGCTCTCAGTTTAACGTATACTACAACTTTTGTTTAGATCACTAAGGCCAATAAGTCCTCTATCATAAATTCACTATTTACGTCGCGCTGTGTCGTGCCGGTTTTGTCGCGAAACTTCGACATAGCATAACTTCTTCGTTATAACTCGGATTTCGACATTCTTTATATATCCGAAATCCTTGTTTCGACCACTACAACTTTATGTATAGATATCGGGTTTATATAACACTTTATTTTCGATGCTTATTTTTATCATTTATTTATTATACCTTTATAAATACGTATAAAACACATAAGTTCACATAATTCACATAATACTCAAATAATTCATCTTTATTACTTCAAAATAGGTTTCAATGGTTGACTTGACTATTACATCATTGCACTAATGCTTAGCCCAGAAACACGAGCGTTACATTATTGCTTCTTTGAGTCTTCCCCAACTAGTTGTCCCATTGAACCTAGACCATGGGGTCTCCAATGTTGCTAGGTTAGGTTTCCGCCAGGTGGTGACTCATTGTGTTGGCTTTAAGCCCATTCCCCTCGATGTGAAGAGAACTTGCTCTCTACTAAGGCCTTTTGTCAAGGGAAGAGTTATATTTTCCTTTGACTTTATGTAACTAATGGAAATGATTCCATTCTTCAGCAAGTCTCTTATTGTAATATGTCTGCGCCTAATATGTCTCGACTTGCCATTGTATATATGACTTTGTGCTCTAGTAAGAGCAGTCATACTATCACAATGTATGCCAATGGCAGTAACAGGTTGAGGCCAAAGAGGAATACCTTCTAGGAAGCTTTTAAGCCATTCAGCTTCTTCAGCAGCTTTGTCTAAAGCAACAAACTCTGCTTCCATTGTAAAACGAGTATTCACAGTTTGCTTAGATGATTTCCAAGAGATAGCAGCTCCACCAAGAGTGAACACATATCCACTTGTGGATTTTGCCTCTGAAGTATTGGAAATCCAATTTGCATCACAATACCCTTCAAGTACATGAGGATATCTCGTGTAATGCAATCCATAATTCATTGTATGCTTTAAATATCTAAGCACTCTCACTAATGCATACTAATGATCTTTCCCAGGATTGTGGGAGTAGCGGCTTAATCTACTTACACTATATGCTAAGTCTGGTCTTGTACAATTCATAATATACATTAAGCTACCAAGAACTTGAGTATATTCTAATTGAGCTACACTATCACCTTTATTCTTCTTTAGATTACTAGAAGCATCAAATGGGGTGACAACCGACTTGTCATCATAGTGTCCAAACTTCTTGAGTACACTTTCAATATAATAGGACTGAGTAAGAGTATAACCATCTGGTCTTCTTTGAACTCTTACACCAAGGATCACATCTACTACTCCCAAGTCCTTCATGGAAAAGGAGGAGTGTAGCATTTTCTTGGTTTTGATTGATCACATCCAAATTAGTACCCATTATAAGCATATTATCCACATACAAGCATATGATTACACAAGCATTCTTGTATTGTTTGACATAAACAAATTTATCACATTCATTAATTCTAAATCCATTAGAGAGTAATGTGTTGTCAAAATTCTCATGCCATTGCTTTGGAGCCTGTTTTAGTCCATAAAGTGATCTAACTAACTTACAGACTTTGTTTTCTTGACCTTTAACCACAAACCCTTCAGGTTGATTCATATATATCTCTTCATCTAGTTCACCATACAAGAAGGCAATTTTCACATCCATTTGGTGTATTTCCAAATTGTGAATGGCTGTAATTGCTACTAATGTGCGAATTGATGTAATTCTTATAACAGGTGAATAGGTGTCAAAGAAGTCTTGACCCTCTTTTTGACGATACCCTTTAGCTACTAATCGAGTTTTGTACTTCTCAATGGTACCATCAGGTCTAAACTTCTTCTTGAATATCCATTTGTGCCCAATTGGTTTTTGCCCAGGTGGCAAATCTACCAATTTCCAAGTGTTATTCTGCACAATGGAGTCAATCTCACTTTTGATTGCCTCTTTCCAATAAGGAGCTTCATAAGAGTCCATAGCTTCCTTATATGTTTGGGGTTCATTATTCACTACGAAGGTCATGTAATCAGTTCCAAAATCTTTGGCAATTTTTCCCCATTTGCTTCTTTTGGGTTCTAAGTTCTCTTCTTGAACCTTAGAAGAACTCTCTTCATTTGATTGTAAACTTTTGCCTGGAATGGTATCATTCAGTCCATCATCTAGATGTATTTTCCTAGAGCAGGTAACCTCTTTCCCTTTATCCTTAAAAGGAAAAATATTTTCAAAGAATTCAGCCTCTGCTGTTTCCATGTTGGTTTGGTTATGGATATCATCAACATGTGATTTATACACAAGAAACATATATGCTGCACTATTCATGGCAAGTCCAAGATAGATGCAATCTATGGTTTTTGGTCCAAGTTTAGTCCTCTTAGGAAGAGATACTTGTACCTTAGCAAGGCAACCCCCACACTTTCATCCTTTTGTAAGAGGGTAACCTCCCTTTCCACAGATGATAGGGTGATTTATCACTCTTTTTATGAGGAATTCTATTAAGTATTGAATTTGCTGCAAGACATGCTTCTCCCCGTAGATTATGTGGTGCTCCAGAAGTAATTAACATTGAATTAATCATGTTTTTCAATGTTAATTCTTTCTTTCTGCCACTCCATTTTGTTGAGGAGTATATGGAACAGTTGTTTGATTTATAATACCATTTAAAGAACAAAATTCAGCAAAGTCTTTGGATTCATATTCTCCTCCTCGATCAAACCTTAGAATTTTGATATTTTTGTCAAGTTGATTTTCAACTTCAGCCTTGTAATTCTTAAAAAAATTCAAGGCTTCATCCGTGGTATTTAACAAATAAATATAACAATACTTGCTGAAATCATCAATCAAGAAATATAATAATTTTTTCCTCCTCTTGTAGGTATTGCTCTAAAATCACATAAATCAGAGTGGATTAAGCCGAAATATTTCATTAGATTTTTCAATTGATTTATGAGGATGTTGTGAAAATTTTGATTCTACACAAACCTCACATTTTATGTTTTTGTCTAATGAACATTTTGGTAACATGCAAAGTTTTGTCATTCTTTGAATAGAACGAAAATTGACATGTCCCAAACTAGAATACCACAAATGAAGGATCATGCATTTACATTGAAGAGGGGCTAGCATATATATATATATATATATATATATATATATATATATGTCTTTGTCTTCAACCATGGTCACCGTCTTCCATCCTTCCAGAACTTTCTCTACTCCTCCGGTATACTCTACTATCCACAGAAACCCACCGCCTCGTACCACCTCCTTCCTCCGCTCAAGAAATCTGAAATCTCCATTAACGGTCGTCTCTTCTTCTTCTGACATCCAACAACTCCTACCGTAGAAGGTGGGTTTCAGAATCGTCGGCCCCCACAAGCCCTAAAAGCACCCCACCGATCGCCGCCACCACCATAATCTCCAGATCCGCTTCGACCGCCACCGCCGTCTCCAGCGTCTCCGACACGCCCACACCAACTCCACCACGTCCTCATCAAATGATCTACGATCGCGTTGCCGAAGAAATCAAATCGAAGCTCAAGCGACTAAAAAACCCCGATCCTAGGTTCCTCAAACACAACTACCCTTACCACAACGTGCCTAGATTTCCATCGCCGGCCTACCGACACCTCATCGGTTTCTCCTTCTCCACCGCGGAGCCGGCCAACCTTGATTTGGTGTAAATCTACTTAAACTCCGGCCACATACAATGCCGACGAGTCGTGCTTCGATTCCGGATACATTCAACGTCGGGTCTCCCTGTGCTATTCCTCTTATTCGCCCAATCTTTCATCTTCCATGTTTTTCTTTTTCTCTCATCTTCATTCACAAAAACACCGCCATCTCCACCATCCTGTCGACTTCTGCCACCGACAGCAATCCAATACGCACCGACTCTACTTCCTTCTTCGATTATACCACAACACCGATTTCTTGAAGCGTGGATTGTGGGTCAGGTGGGTCGATGGATTTGGGAGTGTCGGATGATTCTCCATCTGCTTATAACTTCTTCCATAACTTTAATTTTTTTAATTAAAGGCAACAGTGTGGATGGATTTTGGGGACGATGATGGACTTCAGCTTTCTTCTTCGTTGGATTTCAATCACGAACAAAAACTTAGGGTTCAATTTAAACCAATTGAGGTAGGCTTGTTTCTACATGGCTTCTTCTTACTTTTCATTTAATCAATAGAATTTATACGAAATTGCAATATAAATGATTACTTCCTGGATATATGGTTATCGATTGCTTTCATAAATCTTTTATGGTTTATAATGCCATTATTCATCTTGGACTCCATCTAATGATCAAGGTAGTAGTAGTTGCCATTTGCCATTGCAGTATGTGTCTTGGATAATATTCTATAGTTTTTTGTTCCACAATTCCTAAACATTTCTGTTTTCTACGTTTAATATTGTGCATAAAACTACGACTAAGACAGGTGTGTGAAATTGTCCACGAGCCATGACTTTTTTTTAATCTTTTAAGTATGACATCATAAGGAATTGGACTTATATTATATATTTTTTTTTTCAGGCCATTGTGCAGTTCACAGATTCAGAAACTGATATTTCTGCAAAGGATGCTCTTGATGGAAGAAGTATTCCCAGGTGATTAAATGTAAATCATATACGGGTTTATGGTGTTTTTTTATACTTAACTTAAAAAGAAGTTATACTAGAGCTTGACTGTCATAGAAACTAGGCTTTCGGAAACATATGATATATGTTAAAGACACTATTTTTTTTTTACCCTCATTTAAAGTCATGTATGTTAAACTTTTAACAAAAATAATTTTTTCTTAATTTTAAGTGACAGCAGGTGTTGCTGGATAATAAGAAACAAATTTGAAGTTTAGTACATGTGGGAAAAGTCACAGAAAGCAGATGATATGTTATTGAAGAGGAGCTTAGAATGGTAAGGCTACACATTTCCATGCGTCATGTTTTGGAATCATTGGGTCCCATGTTTTTCTATATTTATCGTAATTTATTATTTAAGTAACTAGATGTATAGGTTTTGAATCAACTATGGCATAAACTTAAATCGAGTAATAATATTAATGGTTTGAAATTACTTTGTAGAATGGATTATTTTTTCAATTGTATCGTTTTACATATGGTACTTCTTAGTTTTGGCATGTAATGTTATTGGTCAACAGGTTGACCGAAGGTTGATCGAAATTACTTTGAATCGGATTGGGATTCGGTAAAATTCGGTTGTTTAGATTGATACAAAACGGAAGATCTTGAAGCAGTATTGGGAGAATTCGCATCAGATAGGAGAGTTAGTGCATATTGAAAATATTCAGAAGAAGTTTTCAGGTAGTAAGGTTGATAGTTTGATCAAGAAGTTTGACATTTTAGATTTTATAATATGTCAAAACCCATATACTTATGCTCCAAAAACTATTACCATGGCTTTTGCAGAAAGTGAAAGGTTTGCAGGTTTGGATTTCTCACTGTTTTATGAGAGTTTGTGCATTTGTTACAACGGGTTCAGAGTCGTATAAAGACCATGTAATTCTTTTTGACTTTTTTTAGCTTTTACTATTGATGAAAATGTTAATTTGGTAACTTAATCTATAATATGCTTTTTACTATACATTGTAATTGCAGCTAATAAAGTCCATATGTGTCGATCTAATATATATTATATATTCAAAGGTTAATTCAACAATTTCATGTCTGATTTTTTATGTTCTTCAAGTCCAATTTGATATTTTTGAAAATCAATTTTTAACTTAAATCTTATTGAGTCATAATCAATGTCTTTTTGCCCACCGTTGTTAGAAATGATTTGTTTACATATGGACAATTAACAGTGGTATTTAATCTAACCATTACGGTGACCTCATCAACCTCAATACTTGTTTGGTTCGATTCTAACCAAAAAACCAAAAAAAGTTATCTTTTGTTTTTCAAAATGATGTTTATGGGTTTTAAATATAATAATATATTATAATTTATAAAAATTAGACATTTTTAATTGACAAATGACATCTATTAACTTTATTTTGTAGGTTTGAAAGTATTTGACCGATTTAAATTGCAGATTGAAAAGATCCAGCAAGGTAATACAAATCCATCATCTGTCTTTTGCTGCTATTTTGCTTTTTGCTGATTTTACTGATATATTCAACACAATAACTTGCAATTTTCCTGATATATTGAACACAAAAAACCATAATAGGTTGAGATAGTAATCCATGTTGTTGTAATCGGTAATGCTTTGCAGTTTTTGCTGATTTTCTTGATTTGTTGCGCTTTATTTTTGATAATGATTTGTTGTTGCTTTTGTTGATTTTTGAAATATATGGTTATATTTTGCTGAATTATGTGTTCATTTACTGAATTTTGTGTTCATTTGTTGATGTTTCTGGTCATTTCTTGATGTATCAATATATTAATCATTATATTAAAACAACTCCTGATTTTGGATGAAAAAATTGCAAGGTGTTTGTTGGTTGCTTTGGTTATTGATAACGTGGAGCGATAAAGATACTTTTCTTTCTCTATGATTATGATTTCGTTTCTTTAAGATCTAATTTGGTTATTTGAATAAATTGAAAGATACGGAGTGGATTTCCAGGCAAGATCCTTATGTTTGTAACACGGAACGAGACTTGCCCTTCTGCTTCTTGAAAGTTCTAGTTGTCTTTCTGGGCTAACCATGGATTCTAAGGTTCTGTTGTACCTTGTTCCAAACGTCCTCTGAAGACTTCTTCTTGTGTTGTACTGAAGTCGTTGAATCTGTTGATATCCTCGTATCTGATCTTCTTGTGTTGGTGGTTGAGTCTGGGTTACAGATTCTCTGTTAAGAACGGCTGCCCTGTGGCTCATTTTCTCGAGTCTTTCTTGTATTCTTCTTTAAATATTATGTTGGGATCTTGGTAAAAGTATATAGGACCTTGTTTTCTTGAAGTGACTGTTTTTTCCGTAATTGAAACTTTGTCTAACCGTTTGGATAAGCTAATGATGGATTCTTCAAGGTCTGCGGGTGTTGCTTCTTTTCCACGACTGACTTCCTTTTGTAGTCTTTCAACCTTTTCTTCTATTTCTGAAAGCTTCTGGTTTTGCTTTATTACTAGATATAATAGGGTGTTGTTTTGTTTAATTATGGCTGCGTTTTGCGCTGCTACACCACTTTTGTAATCAGATGGTTTTGCAAATCCAACTGCAGGTGAATCAAAGTCTTCTGTTGCACCGACGGCTTCCTGATAGTCCGAACTAGCTCTGACACTAGCTAGGCTCATGAGGTTAAGAAGGCTCTTACTTCATGCAGAAGGCGTTCAACTTTCTGGATCTTCTGATTAAGGTCTTCCGTGAGTTTGAGTGCTTCTTTCTCAACCAATTTTGGTTGCTCGGCTATTCTTTGAACTAGATCGAGAACTTGACTTTTAGTGAGGGGTTGATATTGATGTACTTCAAACGAGATTTGCTGTAGGCTTTTTCTGGTTTCACTCTGGGTTTTTCTTATCAATTCCTCACAGGTTTCTAAACGAAGTTGTAATTCCTTTTGATTTTCAAGTATCTGATGAAAACGTTTGATGCAAACTTTTGCGTGTAAAAGTAGTTTATCATGAATACAGGAAATATTATTACTTAAAACTGGCAGCTTGACCTTTTGAGTTTCTTCAAGGTTGAGATATTCAAGGTTAGCAGTTCGGGAATGTTTATACCAATCTGCTATATCTTGTTCAAAACGATCAGTCATAGAAAATAATAACTTCTGTATTTATACTAAGGGAGTTACTATTCTTATTGGACTTGTGGATGCTAAAATTCTTTGAAAAATGTTCACGTTTCCACACATAATTCCCCCTTCTGGGTACTTGATCGCGTGTACTTTGGCTTTTACATTAGTTTTTGAAAACAGGACCCACATAAATAAAAATCCAATAACAACCGTTTAGGATAATACAGACGATATTACTTTAAATAACCAAAGATTTTTAAACAAAACTAGAAGAAAGGTACAAATATCCTTTTCCTGCAAACCTTGAATGGGCTTTTAAGCTACCATGCTTATAAACGCTTTGTTCACCGGAAGATTATCAAACACCAGCTACATGGGCTTTGAATATGAAGTCCAAAATGCAGTAGACCACCTGGAAACAAGCGGAATCATAGCAATTCCAGGCGAGAATCTAAGCATATCAGACCTTGAGGGAAGAAGTTGGCACCTTCAACCATCAACTCAAGCAACAGTCAGAGTTCCAATCGGAGTAGCTGTCAATAACAGGCTTGACAGATCACAAAGCTTAAAGTTCACAAGATACTCACGAAGGCCAGAACCTAGAAGATACTCTGTTGACAATAATGATAGAGAAGTCCTTGAGCAAGATGAGCCTGAAGAAGAATTTATTGGGGCATTTATTCAACAAAACAATTGAGATACTCTAGGAGAGCCATCTGGAAAATTTGACTATCTGGTCAAATATGATCCCCCTTCTGAAACAATTGCAATAGAGGACATCATACCTTCCGGCTGAGAGACGGATGATGAACAAGACGAAGATGAACATGATCAGAAAGACCCCTTTGGTGCGATAAACACAGAAAAAACAGTTGTCGTCACAACCGAAGAAGACGCTATGGAATATCCAAGAATCCGAAAGCTCAGAAGAGACCTAGAGCAGTTAGCCTTCCCAAATACAGAAGAAAGCGGACAATATGATCCTCCAAGTGATCATAATATGGGTCTCCCAACCTACCCACCTGCTAGACAGCAACAACAGCAGCAACCCACAGGGTTCAACTATCCAAGAACCAATAGAGTGTTTAAAGGAGGATATGGTGAATACTATAATCAGCAGTGGACATTACCACCAGCCCACCTCGGCACAGGAGTTTTACTAATCCTACCAGCAGATCCAGGCTTATGGGCAGACGTAATCTCCAGATGGGAGTCTATAACAATTAATAGACTCAACGACCAAGATTGGCCTGACAACAAAGCAAAACTTGCATTTGTTGAAAATCTATTTGGAGAAAATGAAAAAAGAATGTGGCAACAATGGCGAACCATGTACCCTGATGCCTACACCACACTAGAGGCTATAGCGGACGACCCACAAAACATTACTTCACAAGTTCGCCAAATTATTCTTCTGGAAGACCCCTACCGAGGATCTACTGAAGAACAAGATGCAGCCTACAGAGATCTTGAACGACTCACCTGTGAAACACAAAAGACCTATGGAAATTCCTTGATGAATTCAGGATTTTGGCTTCAAAATCAGGCAGGATGTTCTTCCCCCACAACAGAGAAATTCTTCACCAAACTTCCACCAATATTATCAAAGAAAATTGAAGAATTATTTAGAGCCAAATATCCTGGTCTTGGATCAGGAGTCCTACCAGCGATCAAGTTCACACATAGCTTTGTTGCAGAAATGTGCAAAGAAGCTGCCCTACAAAAAGAATTAAGAGCACTTGACTTCTGTTCTAACATCCCAATCCCCGGATATTATAAAGCAACAAAGAAATACGGCCTCAGAAGATCAACAACATACAAAGGTAAACCCCACAAAACCCACATCAAGGTCTTCAAGAGGAAATATAAAGATGATAGGAGCAGGATTTCCAAATGCAAGTGCTACATCTGTGGAAAGGAAGGACACTTTGCACGAGACTGCAGAAGTGAAAAAGGGAATATGACTAGAGCCGCCGTATTTCAAAATATGGAACTTGGTGATGAATGGGATGTCATTTCAGCCGACAATGATGATTCTAGTGTTTATAGTTTTTCCGAAGGAGAGCAAGGAAAAACAAATCAGAACATTGGGAAATTAATCAATGAATCACCACTTGAAGAAACATGTTTTATGTTCCATCCAGGAAGTTCTTCACAAATTCAAAAGCAAACACAGGAAGTGGGCTCATGGAGGCCAGACAAACAACTTCCTCAAAATAGCAAAAATTGTCAGCATAATTGGGAAGAAAATGGCCTGACAAACCATGTGATGTGCTATTATTGTGGGATAGCTACAACACATAGGTCCAGGTTACATTGCTCACACTGTAAGCTCACAACATGTGCTCTTTGTGCCTTCAATTACCTTGGCAAAAGGATAACAATCAAAAGAGAAGAAAGAATTGCTGAAAGTACCCAACGAGAGGTTCAGTTGCTAAAAGAACTTTTGCAAGAAAAAGACAAGAATTTCAAACACACTTATTTATACAAGATTTTAAGTGGACAACTCAATTATAGAGAAAACCCACGATAAGGTAGCTGGACCACCTATTATTCAAACTTATTCACAGCTGGCTTCAATAATTCTCAGGACTGCTGTGAGGTGGGGCAAGTTTCTAGAGAAAATTTGACAAACCAGGCAAAGTAGGATAATAATTTAAACAAACAGACAAACAGCTGTAAAGTGGTCCGAACACGTTGCTTTTTAGAGTCGACAGTATCTGGCTCCACGTATATTGGTTCTCATCGAAAGAAGGCCTAGTGTATGGAGTATAGCGTCATCCCATCCGTCATCTTCAAGAATGTAACTGGTACAGTTACATTCTTCCTCTTTGTTATTGTCTCCTGTGGAATCGTCATCCCTTACGTATCCGAGGCCCGTACGATAATATTTGTGAGTTTCATATGGGCCTAGTTTTTTATTCGTGTCTTGTGATTCATCAGTCCAGTCTCCTTTAGGCTTGTATGTATGGACCGGGTTGTTTCTGAAAATGGGCTTTTCCTCTTCTTCAGTTATGCAGTTGATTGACAGGGAATTGTTAGGCCTTTGGGCTCTTTTTGCCTGATCTATGATTTCTTTTCCTTGGGCTTTGGTTTGGCTTTGGGCTTCAACTTTATTAGCTCGTATTGAGTATGTTCCAAAACGTGCTCCATACCATTCCCATCTTCCGCTATCGTCATGGGTTTCTGCTTCATACCATTGAGTTTTACAATTTTTCTCCTTTTTATGGGCTTCATGAAATTGGGCCAGATTCATGTTTGCCATGCTTTGTGGTTTTAAGGTTGAAGGACTTTCTTGAGTAAATCTTTGGGCTAAAGGGTAAGTAACTTCCTGCGGTTGGTCCTTGGTTTTGATTATGGGTTTTGGTAGTAACTTCAATTCTTCCAAAAGGCTTTGCATTTGCTTGAGTTCTTCCATCCTTTGGTCTTTACTAATTCTCTTATCCTGGATTGCTTCTTCGGCTACTTTCATTATCATCTTGGCCTCTGGCTGCTTCTCGTGATCCTGCAAACAAAAGGTTACCATTCGTGATAAGGAGTCTGCTAAAACATTTTGTTTCCCATCAATATGTTCGATATTGATTTGTACTCCAGTTCCTGTAACTGCATCTGTAAACTTTAACCACCGGACTCTTGAGGCTTTGTTGGAATTAGTTTTGTTGTAAAAACTAATTATTGCCTGGCAATCAGTTCTTAGGGTTATTTCCTTCTTGTCTAAGTAATGGATCTTCAATTTCTCCAGTGTGTTTATGCATGCATTGATTTCAGCGTCAATGGTGGATTGTATAGTTTTAACTTGTTCTTGAGACTTTGGGTCTCCTTTCTTGTTCTTCCACTTGCAAATTCCTCCCCATCCTTCCATGCATCCATTCGTTTCTAGGATTAAATAGGCTTCTTTTGGTGGGATTTGAAGGTCTGGTAACTCTTGAACTTGCCTCTTTATCTTCTTTATCAGTTCGTAATCTGAAGGTTTGAGCCTTTTGTCTCCATGCAGGCTTGTTTTTTCATATAGGGGTCCAAGTAAGATACCAAGCTTTGGGATATATCCTCTTGCGTAATTAAGAATTCCTAAGAATGATCGTAGGCCTGCTTTTGTCTTCATATTTTCTTCATTGAAATCAGCAATTTTCTTAATTATGTGTGGTTGGAGTTTAAGCTTCTGCCTTCCAACGACTGCTCCGAGGAAATCTATTTCTGTTACTGCAATCTTCATTTTTGTTGGAGAGAGGACGAGGCCAAATTCTTTGCACTTTTGAACCAATATCCTTAAATGGTGTTTATGTTGCTCTTCGTTTTCTGAGAAGACCAAAATGCCGTCAATGTAAACTGCGATAAAATTTTCCGTTCCTCTAAAACATCGATCCATTTTTCGTTGGAAGATTGCTGGGGCATTTTTTAGCCCAAATGGCATAACTAGCCATTCATATAATCCTCCTGGTACCAGAAAAGCAGTCCATGGTATGGATGCTTCTTCCATTGCTACTTGATGGAATCCTGATTGTAAATCAAATTTGGAATAAATCTTGGATCTCCCGATTCTGTGTAACAACGTGTTAATACCTGGCAGAGAGTATTGATCTTTGTACGTATTGTCATTCAATGTTCGATAATTGAAGACCATACGTTCCTTTCCTTTTATCTCTTCACCAGTTTTGGTGTCGATTGTTGTGCCTGAGTTGACTAACATGGCCATGGTCCTGTGTCTACTTGAACTGTGTCTTATAACTCCTAATTGTAGTAGAGCATCAATGTGCCTTTTGAAGGCGTCTTCCATGGCCGGTGTCACGTGCTTGAGAGGCTTGTCTTGTATTGTGATATC